CATCGAAGAGACTGCAGGAATTATAAAATCGCTAAAAATTTCATTGGCTTTTTTTTGGAACACATAAATGTCACAAGTATAGATTGGTCTGAAGAACTGGTCCGGCTGAAAAATATTTCTTTTCGCATCTATACCGTTAATTAACACCGTCTAGAAATTACCTCAACCTCAACCTCGAATGCAAAATTCACCGGTCCCCGGGATTTCTAAATCAACGATATCTTATGCAATTAATTCAGAATCCACAAAAGGCGGTATTTTTTTCTTTAAACCGCCGCCGGTCAGGTATATCCATCGCGAGCGTAGAAACTCGTCTAGCCAGATATGATAAAGATGCTAGCCGTTTCGAGAGGATCCTCGGTGTCCAAGGTCAGATATCTGCCTACTGAACGATCGAGAGGGATCGTTGGATCCTGAACGAGATACTTCTCCAAACATCTGTAGCGATAAATGCATTCTCATTTGTATCTTGTATTCTTTTGTATTCAACAGGAAGAACGATCAATTGAATGACATCGGTAAATAATCAATTATTCCTTCAACATTTTGACGGCCGCTGACGTGTACACGCGACTTGGAGAAAATTTGAATTGTAAAAATCTATTTGGCGAAAGTTTTTCAAGAATGCATCGTAATTATGTTATTAACATTAGATTTACGGAGCATAGAAAAACAGCTGTTTTGTATTAATTTATAAAAGTAACAATAAGACATTTATTCTGATTTTTAACAAGTGTTATTGTAACATTTGTCGTAAGTAAATTGAATTAAATTGTTAAATTATAAGCTAAGTTGAATAAATAACTTATGAATGTATCTTTACGATGTGAATAATCGTAAATTAAAAAATTAGTGATCCGTCATTTTGACGAGTTTCATAAATCTAGCGTTAACCAAATTGGTCCTGTTTATATTATTAATAATATAAGAGTCATGTATATGTGACTTCGCGAAAATTTGAATTGTAAAAGAAAAGAAGAATGCATCGTAATTATATTATTAACCAAATTTATACTGTTTATAATATTAATAAGGTATATCATAATTGCACTATTAAAAAAGTGAATTATAATTACACTAATTATTACTTTGACCGCCGCAACACCAATTTGTGGGTAACAGAGTTATTTAAAATTTTAATTTTCGAAAATTAATTTCTTCGCCAGTCAATTATAATTGTTTAATCTTATTAAGATTCGCAAGACGTAAGAATGTTGGAAAAATAATGTACGTCACATAAATTTACTGTACAATTTATATATTATTACAATTCATTACAACAATTACAGTAATTAATATAGTACTGTACACAATACATATTTATAATAGATATAATATATTTATATATATATATATATATATTTCACTGAATAAAATACTATAATTTTACAAAACTTTCGAAGTGTTCGCCGCAGCCGTAAAAGCATAAGGATGCCAGAGCACAGCTTTTATAGTAATCCATAACACAAAAGACATAAAAAGGATGCATTCCCGAAGATCGATACAACGAACCGTGCATGATTAGGCGCGCGGCATCATCAATTAAATAAAATTCCTCCCAATTCTATTCGATCCGATAAAAATAAAAACTTCATAAAATTTTTGACATAACCAAATATATGCAAATGTCTCGACCATTCATTATTACTAAAACGTGAGACTATCTCCACGAAAGTATTTCGGCAATATTGAAATCAGTTCAATAATTCAAAATATTATGCACGATTATTTGAGGGACCTTTTTTTCGTGGATTCACGGTCATTTACAATTTAAATCTGACGCATGGTCATCCGTTAATGCTTGCAGACACCCGTGCAGAAATCGTGTGTGTATCTTACAATATTTAGTCGTTAAACAACAGAAGCCGAAAGAACAAATAATGAAGTTGTTGCGGGTGATCTGCGTCGAGCCGTGAATTTTTGAGGTATGTGACAGAGAAAGTTTCAAGAGGTAGTACATTAATGCAGTACAAGCACGTTTCTAGTGTTATCACGCTGGAACCACGACTGCGGGGAGTCCAATTCGAATGAAATTTCCGAACGCTTTCTAGGACAGTACATGTTTTCTAACCTTCGCCGCCATGTTTCGATTACTAAACGTCTTAGACGGTCGCTATAAGATCACCTGAAATCGATCCCCGTTTGTAGAGATCATCCGTTCAGACCGTGTATTTTATTTTGACGACTTTCATAAATCTAGCGTTAACCAAATTTGTCCTGTTTATATTATTAATAATATAAGAGTCATGTTCACGTGACTTCGCGAAAATTTGGATTGTAAAAATCTATTTAGCGAAACTTTTTCAAGAATGCATCATAATTATATTATTAATATTAGATTTACGGAGCATAAAAAAACAGCAGTTTTATATTAGTTTATAAAAGTAACAATAAGACATTTATTCTGATTTTTAACACAAGTGTTATTGTAACATTAGTCGTAAGTAAATTAAATGAAATTGTTAAATTGTAAGCTAAATTGAATAAATAACTTATAAATATATCTTTACGATGTGAATAATAGTAAATTAAAAAATTAGTGACCCGTCATTTTGACGGGTTCCCTAAATCTAGTGTTAACCAAATTTGTCCTGTTTATATTATTAATAATATAAGAGTCATGTGCACGCGACTTCGCGAAAATTTGGATTGTAAAAATCTATTTAGCGAAACTTTTCGAAGAATGCATCGTAATTATATTATTAACCACATTTATCCTGTTTATATTATTAATAAGGTATATCATAATTGCACTATTCGCTATAAGATCGCCTGGAATCGATCCCCGTTTGTAGAGATCATCCGTTCGGACCGTGTATTTTATTATAAACGTTACACCAATGCATCAAGAATTTTTATTTCTACACCATGAGAAATCTTCGATGCACCATTCTTCTTCAGTTCTCGCGCCATTCCTCTTCAGTTCTTGCACCTTTTTTACTGGACCACATGGTTGAAAACGTGTTCCCGCTTTTTCGCGTGTGCGCAAAAAACACGATGTTTATATAATCTGTCCGAAGTGTCTACAAAAGAGATTCTAACAAAACATCACTGTCTTGTTTTACTTTTCTCAATCCGCCGAAACCAGCGATCAAAAATATAAAAACGCTTCCCATTCTTCTCCTAGCTGCGGCAGAAAGTATTCGAATTCCTTTCAAAACGCAACAACATTTTTCAGACTGGAACGAATTATTTGAAATTGGCATTTAGAATTTAATCTTTTGAAATTTAAAAAATGCGTTTCGTGGATCTCGTTAACTTATACGCACGCTGAAAATTTCTTCGAACTCGGTCGACGAACAATTAAAGATCCCACAAATCGCAGTTTTTTCACGAATTTCGATCAAAATCAGGTCAATTTTGCATCTTTCAGTGAACCGATTTCGATGAAATTTTCAACGTGCATGTAAATTACCGAGATCTACGAAAGACGTTTTCTAAACTTTCGTTCCTGCCTCAGATAAGAAAAAGTTGAAAAACGAGAGATTTTTATTCTTTTGTCATTCGAAGTAATAGCAAAATTTAAAACAAAAAGCATTTCAGTCATCGTCTAATAGATTAAAGTCCCCCTATCATTTGAAAAAAGATTCAAGTCATTTCGTTCAATTTTAAAATAGATATTGCGTTTTAAAAGGTGTCAATTATGCGAGTAACTGTATGTTACCGAGATCTAAAAAAAACGCATTTTTAACATTTTCTTTCCCAGCTTAGTCATTTAGTTTAACTTTAAAATAGTTATTGCGTTTTAAAAGGCGTACGCTCAATTATGCAAGTAACTATGTTATCGAGATCTAAAAAGACACATTTTTAAAATATATCCTTTCCCACCTTAATCATTTAGTTTAACTTTAAAATAGTTATTGCGTTTTAAAAGGCGTACGCTCAATTATGCGAGTAACTAACTATGTTACCGAGATCTAAAAAGACACATTTTTAAAATTCCCTTTCCCATCTTAATCATTTAGTTCAACTTTAAAATAGTTATTGCGTTTTAAAAGGTGTACGCTCAATTATGCGAGTAACTATGTTACCGAGATCTAAAAAGACACATTTTTAAAATATCCTTTCCCATTTAATCATTTAGTTCAACTTTAAAATAGTTATTGCGTTTTAAAAGGTGTACGCTCAATTATGCGAGTAACTATGTTACCGAGATCTAAAAAGACACATTTTAAAAATTTCCTTTTCCATCTTAATCATTTAGTTCAACTTTAAAATAGTTATTGCGTTTTAAAAGCCGTACGCTCAACTATGCGAGCAACCGTATATTACCGAGATCTAAAAAAAAACGCATTTTTAACATTTTCTTTCCCAGCTTAGATAAAAAAAAATTAACAAACCAGATCTTTTTATTTTTACACCGTAAATAGAATCTTTCTTTCTACGGAGAACCGTGCGGAGCTTATCGCAGGAAGGAGGACGATTTCGTAACAACCATAAACTGGATCGCTGCACGTGGCGGCGACAGAAAAAAGCGGATCGGTATTCCGCGTGCTCCATTAATGCGTGGTCACCGAGAGATCTCTTGTTATCCGGATCTTTTAAAAGCTTCCTCGTCGCGTAACGAAGCCTGATAATGGCCGCGTGTTCCAAGGGACGTCTGGACAGCGAGAGAGAGAGAGAGAGAGAGAGAGAGAGAGAGAGAGAGAGAGCCCGGACAAAAAGGACAAAAGAGAAGACGAACGTGTCCGAGGGACAGAGTTGTCCGAAGATTTGCATAAATCATCCTCGTCCCTCCGCGCCGTACACAAAGTATCGGGAGTAAAACGTTCGAAGAATGGTGGGAAGAGCGGCAGAGGGGCACCAATACAAAAACGAACGGAAGAATTTCTGTTTTCTGTGCGCAAGCACAGACACCCGCGACCACCAACACACACGTCCGCGGGGCCCCGTCGATTTAGGAAACGCTCGGGACATATTTGAGGTATAGGCCTTCGGAAGGAGTCAATTAAAAATCTAGTTCTCCCAATGCCAATGGATTGCGAAATAAACTGGAGGGAGCATCGGCCGTGTATAAAAGGTCGAAATATCTTTGGGATGATACTCAAATACTCATCCAATCATCACCCGCTCAACATGAGGCTCCTGCTGATCGCTCTGGTAAGGATCCTGCTCTATCTTCCCCTTAGATCGTCGCCGTTTTCGCCTTTCAGTTCCTCTTCCTTCGCACATAAACAAAATCGCTACGACTCGATTGCAACAAACTGAAATAAAATAGAACATTTTCTTTCCTTTTTTTGACAGATTTAATAGGTTCTTTCTCAATTCTTCCGATTCGAAACTTTGTGATATGTAATTTAAGATCTAGGTCAGAATTTTATTTAGAATTTAATTGGAAATTTGCAATCGTGAATTTTAAGATTTAATTGAAAATTAGAAATCTAAAATCCAATTGAAAATATGGAATTTAAAATTTAATTGAAAATTAGAAATCCAATTGAAAATTTGAACTTTAAAATCTGATTGAAAATTAGAAATCTAAGATCGAATTGAAAATTTGGGATTTAAAATCTGATTGAAAATTAGAAATCTAAAATACAATTGAAAATTTAGAATTTTAAATCTAAATTAAAAATTTGACATTCAAAATAAAACTTTTAGATTAACTGGATGTAATCTAATTTAATAATTCTTCCAGCGTTGTTATTCCGTTTCTTTCACTAATTTTCGGGTCTAACTAATTTCTTAACTTTCATTCATTATCGGGTCTAACTAACCCGATTGAGGTTTAAAGGATTTAAAAAGCCAATCATTTCTAGCCTCTCAGGATTTCTTAATAAATCGTTCAATAGCAACATATATAATAATTTCTATTGAAACTATTACTTAAAAAAAGATAATACTATTTTATATAACATAATTATAGAGA